GCTATGATGCTGCTTGGCCTGCTGTGTTCATCCAGCCCTGCACCTTGTTGTCTCAGAGTTTCCAAGACGCAGGTTAAACTCGCCTTCTATAGTTCAGGTGGAATAAAGGAACCTGGGCGCGCCTGGAGCTCAGTGAGGCAGGTAAAATTGGACATTTTGTAAAAAGTGATTAGACAATTCGTGATTCCTCCAAACATTAAGATGTGAATGAAATTCCATATGTAACTGCTGGCAACATTCAAAACGCCCGAGTGCTTGTCCTCTGAGTATTGTAATATCTCCCATACATAGTACTCTAATCCTGTCTGAACTCCAAAAAACCATTTACGAATGTGTGTGCACTGTAATTCCCATTGCTAAAGAATAGAAAACACTTTATTACCTGCAAATTGTATCGTTAGTTGTAAAACTCGTGAGTGAGTAAATTGTGATCATATCGGATTTGAATTTGGAATTTGGACATGAAGACAGCCAGATGTAATAAATACAGGGTAAAGTCTGAATTCGTCAGGATATGGGAAGGTGTAAATTCGAACCTAATGATGTCATTGTGTGGTCACTTTGACCTCTTCGCTCAGTAGCAGTCATGAGAAGTCCAGCTTACTTTGAGGATTTAAATCTTTACAATATTAAACTCGTTGATGTACAGGAGAATGAATAGACCACTTTTCAGCTGCACTCAGTACAAATGTTTGTTTCAAAGGGAAACAAACTGCTAGTGCAATTAGTTGAGAGACTGATTCGCACAGGTAAAGTGTCCTAAGGGAAAACAGGATTGAGGCATTGGAACACGAAAAATGTAAGAACGGTGCATTGCAATTGACAGAACTTTCAAACAAATGACCGGTTGGATAGCAGCATCAGCTTTTCACCACTGACCATGGTATTGTACATTATTACCAAGTTACCAGAAATCTTCAAAACACGTGCCCACAGAGGATCAAATTTAATCCCTCTTCTCAAAGCAAAAGGCAATCATTTTAAATATATATATATTTCAATAAGTTACAGTGTGCCCGAATCCCCCAAGACTGGAACTAGGTTAGAAAGTATATAAATAACCCGTTTACAGGACTCAAAATACAAGAATAATATGAAGTGAGCAAATGTTGCACTATATTAATTATCCTTGGTTGGGAACCTAATGTTCCAAAGGTGTGGATATAGTTGGAGGAAATGAATAATAGCTGTGCAGGCTGTGGAGAAAGCAATGTTCAGGTGTGAGGGCAGTCTCGCCAAGAAAACACATACCTTGTACTTTCACCGCTTGGATATTGCTGCATATTCCATTGTGCATTATGAGGGATGCAGCAGCTTATGTTTGCAGTATTGGACAGCAAGCTGTAAACCACACATGGACGAAACAAAGCAACATTGCGGCCAGTGCACAGTGAGGGTACCAGTGGAGGGGATAATTTCCAAAAGCTGCACTTGGTTCAAACCGGAGCTTGCTGCCCTGTTTTGTTTTTGCTTTCTGTGTGTGTGTGTGTCTCTTGCTGGTTTTATCCTGCGGACTCTTCTGATTTGGTTGTGTGTGTTTAGGAGGCTGGGCTGGCCCAGAGCGGGGCGATCACATGGTACCGGCTGATTGACACCGGAGCTGCAGACTCGCTGTTATGGGAACCAGGAGAAACGTTGGCCAGCAGCAATGAGCAAGCGAAGGGGAAATGGCCAGGTCAGGCAGTGATGGAGAACCGCAGCAGCAAGTGGCCGGCGATGGGCTGGAGCCACAAGTTTTATCCCTGGATGAGGTGCTGAGAGCCTACGAGCAGCCGATCAATGAGGAGCAAGCCTGGGCTGTGTGTTACCAATGCTGCCGCTCTCTGCACCGAGACTGGCCCCGGGAGCAGGTGCGCATTGGCCGTGTCCGGGAGCTGGCAGCCATCCTGCTGCATCGGGATGGCACCGTGTCCCTGTGCGGGGAGGACCAGAACAGGCCGCCGCTTACAGGTACAGTCCACTCACTTTCAACGCTGACTGCAACAGCTAACCCCACAGCACCGACTCCCAACTTTCTCCTCTAATCACTTGACTGCTAGCCCTGCCGCATATGCCCACGATTACAGAGAACCTAGCCATGTCCGCCAGCCAGAAAAATCCCACACATTCTGTTAGCCAACTCTCAGCAACGCACAAAAGCTGGCTATCTCACACTGGCTTGTGTTTTCGCCGTTGGCCTGAACTGTAAATTGATACACTGCACTGCATAGGGCGAGAGTAAACGCATCCGCTGTTTCGAATTCTTCACTGGTTTGATATATACTAAAATGTCAAACTCAGCGTTTGTTCTCAATGCCATCCTTAATTCTGCAAATATGTATTCTGTACTTTCATAAAAAATAGTGTAAGGCTTGAGTGAGTATAAAATGAAAGGTTTCAGGATACCTAATTACAACTAGGACTTCTAATGTGTAAATTCCAAAACTATCAGGTATTGAAGCTTTATTTAAAACTCTTCTGCTTTTAAACCCCATATCTTTAAATTCCAGGTAGGGTATATTTTTAAAGAAAAATCAAATTGTTTAAATCTCATTAATCTATTAATCCATTAATCTACTAGTTTAAAGTTTTAAGGGATGATCTGTGCTCAAGTAAGATTTCTGGTGTAATCCAGACAAAATCTTGTTATGAAAGGTGTAATGAAGGGAATTGTGAAGCATTGTCTTGTAATATTTTTGAAAGCCATCTGAATTTCTTGAATGGCATGCAATTCTGTTCCATTTATTTGTCAATACTGATAAAGCATTATTTTAGACTTCAGAGTGTGGGTGTAAAAAGTGATTAGAGATAGTCAGCATGGTTTTGTACAAGGAAAATCATGTCTCACAAACTCAGTTAAAGTTTTTTAATGAAGTAACCAAAAGAATTGATGAGGGCAGAGCAGTAGACGTTGTTTACCTGGACTTTAGTAAAGCCTTTGACAAGGTTCCATATAGTAGACTTATTAGTAAAGTTAGGTCACATGGAATTCAGGGTGAGCTTGCCAATTGTGGTGGTGAAAAGTTATTTATTGGACTGGAGGCCTGTGACCAGCGGTGTTCCACTGGGATCGGTGCTGGGTCCATTTTTGTTTATCATTTATCTAAATGATTTGGATGAGAATATAGGAGGCATGGTTAGTAAGTTTGCAGATGACACCAGAATTGGTGGTATAGTGGGCGGTGAAGAAGGTTATCTAAAATTACAAAGAGATCTTGATCAACTGGGTCAAGGGGCTGAGGAGTAGCAGATGGAGTTTAATTTGGTTAAATGCAAGGTATTGCATTTTGGTAATACAAGGACAGAACTTATACACTTAATGGTAAAGCCCTGGGTGGTGCTGTAGAAGAGAGAGACCTAGAGGTTCGGGTACATAATTCTTTGAAATTTGCATTACAGGTAGACAGGGTGGTTAGGAAGGTGTTCAGTGTGTTTGCCTTCATTGCTCAGACCTTTTGAGTATAGGACATCATGTTGAGGTTGTACAGGACATTGGTAAGGTTTTTCTGGAGTGATGTGTGCAGTTCTGATTGTCCTGTCATAGGAACGATATTGTTAAGCTGGAGAGGGTTCAGAAAAGATTTACCAGGGAGTTGCCAGGGATGGAGTGTTTGAGATATAAAAATAGAATGGAAAGTATGGGACTTTTTTCACTGGAGCTTAGGAGGTTGAGAGATGACCTTATTGAGGTTTACAACATAATGAGGGGCATAGATGAGGTGAATGACAAGGATGTTTTCCCTAGGAAGGGAGAGTTCAAAACGGGGGGGTGTATTTTTACGATGAAAGGAGAAAGGTTTAAAAAGGACATGAGGGGAAACTTTTCACACAGAGAGTGGATTGTGTGTGGAATGAATTGCCAGGGAAAATGGTGGATGCAGGCAGAGTTACAACGTTTGAAAGACATTTGGACAAATTGGTGAATAGGAATGGTTTGGAGCGATATGGGCCAAACGCAGGCAGGTGGGACTATTTTAGTTTGGGAATATGCTGGGCATGTTCTGGTTGGACCAAAAGGTCTATTTCCATGCTGTGTGACTCTGTCACTCGATAATTAGGCCATATTACTTAAATGGCTTTAGCCACATTCAGTTTTGTAGTAAAAGAATTCTGTGACAGTACATACAGCCTGCATAGCTTTTTGTTCACATACTTCATTAACAATGGTACAAAATCAAAACAATGCAGATACTGGAAATCTGAAATAAATGTGAAAGATCAAATAGGTCAGGCGGCATTTGATGAGGAGTCATTGACCCGAAATGTAAACTGTGTTTCTCTCCACACTAGTATTTCTTGATCTGCTGAGTATTTCGGGCATTTTCTGTTTTTATTTCATGGACGGTGATTTGTTTTGAGGCCTTTGCCATCACGATGCAGGAAAACAACTACTGAGAAGGAATGACACAGTCAATTTGGCTTCTAAATTCTGTCCCATACTTGTTTATGTAGCCTGGCCTCTCAGCCAAAATAGATTTGCCCATTTTCCCAAATTTAAAGTCTCCACTATGCTGCTAGCTGTGTAGCTGCAACAGCTCATGGGTATGATGTAAATATCTGGGAATTGGCCACACCCGTCGAGAGAATACTTTGAGAGTGCCATTGACAGATAACAATTGGGCTGCATGCGTCTTATTTGCAGTAATTGCTGCGTTACCTTGAAGTTGTGGGTGGTGGGAGGAAAGTCAGTAAAATTATATCCTTGTTCAGACCAAAAGCCATTATATTGCGCACAACTTTAAATCTAATTTATTTTGACATCATGCAGCACTTGTCCCTACCCCACCATCTGCCACATGGGATTGCACAGTTACAAGCAGATTTTGTTCCACCCTGTCCCTGATAATTATTTTAAAATAAGACAAAGTTGTATTGTTTAATGTGTGGTGATGCAAGCTCCATTACTCATTTGTGTTGAGTATTAGTTGGGATTAAATTAACCATAGTGTATTGACTCCTTAAAGGGATTTTCAAATTTCACCCAGTCACCTAAACAGGGAAGAAAAGTTCACATACAATGGAACAATATTTGGGTTTCCTTTGATCATGTGTATACATATTTTATAAATTATTATTTTTAAAAATGTATATATTGGATAATATAATATATATAATATATAATACAATATTACATATTGTTTAATATAATATATTAACTTGATATTTCTTGCATAAACAAGATATACATAAAAATAATGTGAAATTATCAATATTGTGTTATGAACACGAAGGTTTTTTTTAATAACACCTAAGTGACTAAATCAATTCATCCACTGTTCTTTAATCTACGTCCTCTTTGTAAATGGATACTGCGGGTTTTCAGCTCTTTGCTTCTCTTATTTGAGTCAGAGAGATATCTAGTCACTGTCCACAATTTTTCAAGATCATCTAGAGGTGTTGAAAATAAGGAAAAATATTTTGTATACCGACTGCTCCCAGTTGTTCATAGCTTATGTGGGATGTTTGAATAGTAAATCCTGTGGAAATGTCAAATTATACTGATGGACGCCCAGTCTGATAATATTAAATCGGGTGTAGAGTTTGTTATGTTTTGTATTATTGATATATTTTGTTAAGGTAAGATATACATGCATGTTCAGAGCATGTACATTAAAGTATTTATCATCAAAGAAGTAATTGCAAACATAATAAACTAGCAGGACTGTGAGGACTGTTCATCAGACTTTGAGCTATTTTGTTAATTTAAATGGAGCTTTTGTAAGGAACAGAAAACATGTCACAATAAGGTAAAATGTGACAATAGCAACAGTCCACAGACTATGTAACAATCAGTCAAAAGTTTCTATTTGCCTATCCAACTTACTGTCATGAGGTTCACATTGTGGTGACTACTTTCAATTATGTTTAATGGACACTTCATGAATTCTGACAATTATGAAAAAATTATGATGCAGTTAACTAGTTTGACTCTACTGATTTTTGAAAAAAAAAGCTTTATGTAAGGCTTGATATATTTTTGTAAACTAAATATTAAGCTTTGATATCAAATTGATTGCTGAGATGACGTTTCAAGCAAGGACAGCATTTACTGCCCACCTGTTTTTCTTCGGAAAGTGGTAGTAGACCTCCTCGAACCTGGGGTAGCAACACAATATGAATAAATGTCTTCTGAGGTCTCTTCAAAGGGGATTTAAAGGTCGACTACATCAGGGTGAGAATGGAGCAATTTGCAGGTACTGACTTCCCTCAAGTATATTGATAAACCAGTTGGATTTCATAATTAAAAATTATGTCTTCTAATTAAATAATTAATTGTAAAAGAGAAAATTTACCCGATTTTCCACCTCTATTCCTGGCATCAAAATGGAACATCCTTTGTAAATCAGGTGTGTTGCAACAGACATTCCAAATGTCTGACCTCAGTATTGATATCACAAGAGTGCTAGATCTTTCTGCACAACAGCTATCAAATAAGGAGAATAAGTTCTATGATTCATCTTTTGAACCCAAGAAAATTTAAACTTTAGAAAACAGCAACTTATGTGAGACACTGAATTACATTGTACTTGTAATCAGAATTAAAATCATATAAAACAAACTTATTTTGAACAAACTCATTATGGTAATCATTAAATGAAATGAAGGAAAGAGAAGACTAATTAATTTAACTTATAAAGAAGACCTCATTGCTGTCACCCCTCAACAAAGATAGTTTTATGTAGAGCTATATATACACCATTTTACCTTACTAACTGCCCGCTACTCCCAATATTGTGAAAGCACATTTTGCAGAAGATCCTTCCTTAGACCAAGTTAGCATGCATGGATTGACAAGCACTTTGAACAGTTGTTGTAATATGAGCCTGCGACTTTGATTTTATTTCCAGAAAAACCTGTTTACTAAAATGCATCAGAAATTCTTATGAACAATGGATACGTAAGGAAAAATATATAGCGTGGTGTTTATTAGTTGAATAGTCAAAAATATTGGTCTGAGCCATGAGAATTTT